CCCAAATAGGTGACTGGTAGACAGGAGAGGCCATCAGGGGGCTGGAGGTCAGGTTCTATTAAATGGTGCTCTCTGATTTGGGTCTGCTTCCTGCACAAACAAAGTGATATTCTTTGTCCATGGCCATTTGCACACGTGGAAAACACTGATTGCAGCCAGAGGAAACCAGCCGTGAGCTCTGAGCACTCCAGACCTGACCTAACACCGCAGGACACTGGAGAGGTCAAAGTGGTGCCATGTCATTACCCATTCTCGGCTCACGAGAAGGCCAGGGCATAATAACAGGGCTTGCGGCAGTAGAGACTCCTGGTCCCACACCCCCGGGGAGGCTTAGTCTCCTGGGTTCAAGTTTCCTTTGGCAGCAGGAACACCTGACCCTGCCTACAAAGGTCACAGGGGTCTCCCTCCCCTGGAAGCTTCCCACCTGGTTTTTGTTCGGTCAGTCCAGGTGGGTAGGGGCAGAGCCCTGAAAGGCCTCAACAAGGGTGGTAACTAACAGCCCTGGATTTCAGTATCAGAATGGCTGTGCGTCAACAGTGGGTGAATTTTCAGTGGAGCCAGTGTGCCCCTTTCCATCCATGTATTTCTGGATCAGGGAGGCTCTCCTCCACTGGAGACTTAAGCCAGGCTACTTCTATCAAGTGACTGTACCATCTTTAGCTCATGGTTCCCAAGGTTGTCCCCCAGTTTTTCTCCATTCCATGAAGTCCCCCTGGAGAGGGAACAGGTTCTTGTTTTGATTACACTTGCCGCCATTTACTTCTTTAAGCAGTGTCAGACTCTCCTGGTATCCCACCTGGGACTCTGCCATGAGTGACTTGTCCCTAGTACCTTTACTGGAGGGAAGCTAGAGCACCGTGAGTGGAGGCTGGTCTGGGGCCCCAGAGGGCACCAGGTTCGGGCCCCAGGTGCCCCTATGGATGTGGAGGAGCAGGCTTGGGCTGGGGACGTGGCCAAATTCCTGGTGAAGTGATAGTTTCTTTGTTTATCCTTCAGTCCTTTATTTAAGAAGACAGTGTATAACCTGTTCCTAAAGAATTCAGCCATAGTGAGGGGAAAAGAGATTAGAGGGATGTCAGTCTCGGCTCTTTGATTTGCAAGCAACAGAAACAAAGCTGGCAGGAGCTTGAGCCACTGGGGAGTACTGAGGTAGCCCACAAAAGGGCAGAGCGGTAGATACCATGGCAGCCCTGGGGTCTCCGGTTGGCTCAGGCAGCACGGGAGCTCCTCCATCTCCAGTCCCAGAGTCAGGAAAAGGCCTCTCTGGGTGTTTATGGGCAGGATTCACTCTCTCAGGTTTCTCCTTGTGGCAGGAACATGGCTGCCGGCATCTCTTTCCCCACCAGCTGGGGTGTAGCTCTGCACTGTGTGCTCATCACATATTTGCCCAATGAACAGGTAAAGGACCCTTGTTGCACACGAAGCTCCTAGTTCTGGACTCAGTGGGTGACACGTCTTCTCTCTTCACTTTTCATGCCTCTGATCCCACCTGGTCCTTTTCTTCACCAGGATGGCCCTCTTCACTACACCAATTCCTGCCATCACCAAGGTACTTGTTCATAATACAGTTGGGAGGCCTTGTGCAGACCCACTGATCAGAGTCTCTAGGAAGAAGGGCCTGGAAACCTTCACTTTGAATCAACACCGCTGGTAACTCTTATGGTCAATGGATTAGTCCACCTCAACATTATCATGCTTTTTTTAGAGGTCAAGTTCTTTATGATGACTGTGGTTGCTAATGCTGAGTGCTCCTTTTGGAATACCCTTTTGAGAATCTTCACATGGAAAAGAAGTTCCTGTTCTTCATAGCTCAGATATCACTTCCTCTGTGACACCTTCACCACTAGACTTTGCCCTCTGTTTTCCCTGCCCACCATATACCCAACACACCCTATCTTGCCCCCTGAGCACTCCCATACATCTGTCATGGCCTTAATATATTGACTTCTCTACATATTTCTCTCACCTACCATCCCAGGTTGAGTTCCTCTAAGAGATGAATGTTGTTTTTAACCCTCAAAACTGGGCCATGTGCCTGGTATCTGGTGTGCATTTACTAAAATATCACTTGAATGAACATGGTCTAAAATGTAACAACTTCATGATCAGCAAATTAAACATTACTTAATAGGCTGTTATTTATGCTTCCTACAGATACGGATTTCTGTCTTTTTTAAAAGAAACAATTCATTAACCTTCAGTATTCAATTTTACCAACACATGAAAGGCATAAGAGAACAGCTATGTACATTTCAGGGCAATTTCACTGATTAACTGCAATTTCTGTTAGAAGCCATCATGCCACGTGAAATGGTCTACAGTACCACAAACTATCTTTAGTGAAGACTTTTTATGCATTTATGTTGACTTCTTTCTCATTTTTATCTGGGCAGTAATTTTACAAGGAACATGAGGATTTTGTACAAGTTATACATAATGGGTTTTCTCCCCCTATAGGTTATAATAAACCGACTGGCAAGAGAGGGCAGAGTTGTCCTAGACATAAAAAAAAAAAAAAAATCTGTCCCTGAGCTGAACACAACAACAAACACAAACACCCGAAACCCCACAGCTTCTCTTTCACATCCATATGCCTGAGTCATCGCTGTGTGGTTTTACTTGGATGCAGACATCCAAGACATGTTCATAATGCTGAAGGGTTGGTGGTACTTACATAAATTAATCCAGAATATGTAATTGGCCAAGACTGATTCATCTTTCACAGCTCTGCCAGGAGAAAAATGTGCATGAATTTTGAAAGGAGTGTGTGCACTGCTTTTTCTGAGCCTCTGAAATTCTCCTTTGAAATAGCAAAAGTCTCTTATTTCCTTTTTTTAAAAAAGATTTTATTTATTTATTTGAGAGAGAGAGAGCACATGGTCGGGGGAGTGTCAGAGGAAGAAGCAGACTTCCTGCTGAGCAGGAAGCCTGATGTTGGACTCGATCCTGGGACTCCAGGATCATGACCTGAACTGAAGGCAATCGCCCAACCAACTGAGCCACCCAGGCGCCCCATCATTTCCTCATCTATTGATTTGGTTTATATGCTTCAGTGGATTTCAAAGTGCTTTCCAAGCACAAAGCCATCCTTGGGTTTGTTCTCAACCTCAGGTGGCAGTGGAATCAACTTTTGCAGGAAAAACGAAAAACAAAACCCCCCACCAAAGCTGCTTAAAGTCTCTCAAATGCTCTAGGAAGCAAAGTTAGCAATTAAAAAACAAGAGTAAAACTCGTCCTCGGATTATTCACTTATGCACTGTGGCTTTTTCGGACATAAGTAAAACAAAATCTGATTTGGAGACAGTCCAAGATTAGGACAGAAATTAATTTCACAGTGAAGCTACAAGTTTCAGTTTCAAGCAAATATTTGTCATCAGAATGAATGATAATCTTTCCAGGGACTTTATTTCTAGTATGTTGGATTTTTCTACTATGACTTTGAGCTCTCTTTCTACAGATGGGGAACGAATGTTTGCTTATTTCCTTGTCAGGGTGGGCAGAGTCCAGGCAATCGAGGAGGGCTCAAGGGGCCTGCAAAACTCCATGTTTACTGTTCATATTTTCTTTATCACTTCTTATGTTTAGGTAAAAATGTTTTTTTTTCCTGAGTTACCATGGAAAGATTTCGCACTAAAGTTTCTCCCATATTTTTTTAGCGACCTCTCTTCCCATCCCGAAATATAGATTCAATCAATATAGAAGCATGGAAAACCCAAGAAGTATGACAAATCTAATGTAATTTTACAAAGATGGTGGAGGCAGGCTTGATGGTGAAAGGGGATGGTCCAAATTTGTGAAAAAAATTTAATTACACTCTAAAAGAATGTTTTATCACTTTAAAGAACAGAGAATACTTCCCTTAACCCATTTAATTTTTTTTCTCTTATCCCATTTTAAAACAGGATTAATAAAAAAACCCGGGGCACCTGGGTGGCTCAGTCGTTAAGCATCTGCCTTCAGCTCAGGTCATGATCCCGGGGTCCTGGGATTGAGCCCCGCATCGGGCTCCCTGCTCGGCGGGAAGCCAGCTTCTCCCTCTCCCACTCCCTCTGCTTGTGTTCCTGCTCTCACTGTGTCTCTCTCTGTCAAATAAATAAATAAAATCTTTAAAAAATTAAAAAAAAAACCCAAACCCAAAACCTGCTCCTATTGGTGACAATACCTAGCAGTTCTGTTCTTTAACTGAGTGGCCTCCGCATGCAGTCCTAAAACAGCCTACTACAGGTCCTATTTTGCTACTAGCAAGTATTTTTGTATCTAAACCTTATTTTATTTAAATGACTAATTTAGTACCATGCAACAATTTGCACATGCCTGTTAATTAACTATTACAGAACTCTGTGCCCACAGTTACAAATTAGGCACACATTTTTGCTAGATTACACATCTGAGAATTCTCTTCCGGGTCTTTTGACTAAGTTGTTCTTCAGGAGAGAAAAAAGATGCGTAGTGGGTTGCTCAGAACATTGAAGGTGAATTTATAGACCAAATCTTCTACGACCTTTTTTTAAAGATTTTATTTATTTATTTATTTGAGAGAGAGAATGCGCACGCACACTCGAGAAAGAACATGAGCGGGGGGAGGGGCAGAGGGAGAAGCAGACTCCCCACTGAGCAGGGAGCCCAATGCAAGGACTTGATCCCAGGACCCCAAGATCATGACCTGAGCCAAAGGCAGACATTTAACTGACTGAGCTACGCAGGTGTCCTTTGTGAACTAATTCTTGATGTTAAAGTGCATCTCTTACTCTGGGTTGTGACTTTAGAAAATATGAAATTTAACTATGCTGAAATCAAAAGCAATAACAATCTGATTCTAAAGGGCTGGTGTTAGAGCTTAATTTTTTAAAGTTATGTATATTGACTATCATAAAATGGAAGATACATGTTGGCCCATGGCTAAATATTCTATTTTTTTAAATTCATGTTAAAAGGAGAAACTCATTGTAAGATTAATCTCCCTTCTGTCAGAATGATAGAACTCACAACAACAAAAAGAATGTAAACACAAAATCTCATTTATTTTTGTCTGAAGCACAAAGGAGCTCACTCAGCACATGAACAGGAAGCAAATCATACAAATATTGAATAAAAATGTCCCCATGAATACACACATATATAGCCTTAAGGGCAGCAATCAGGAGTTTAACATACAATGTAAGGTGGTTTTTGATACAGAATGCTTTCTGACAGGCTTTTGAACAGGAAATAAACAGGTAAATCAATGCCCCGTGACATCTGTTCCTCAAGCACCCCCTGGACACTGAAAGCCGTCTTGGAATTTACACTAAGTTCCATCACTGGCCTGTTCAAGTTTTGCATTTCCGTAAATTTGGACCGGATTTACAGACTAACCCCTCAGCTCTTGACCTTCGGGGCTGTGGGCGGGAAAGGGAGAGGCTGGGCGGGGAAACATGCATGGGGTCCAATGTTAGGGCTTTCCAGGAGTGTCTGTTCATGTGTGCACTTCTTTCTACACTTTTCCTTTAGAGACACTGAAAAGGGTCAGGGTCCAAAATCATACCTAAAGGGGCTAGGTAGATCTGAAGTTGCAGATATCTCTTCTAAGTCTTAAAAAAGAAAGAAAACTTAAAAATTTGTGTACAATCCACGTAATTTGAAAATTATCTCAAGACATTGCCATGACACATTTCTTAGTCTACTTTTTAAAAACTCAGAATGCTCCTTTTAGACGTGTGAATGTGTCCAGTAGTGGCATCAGCTTTAAAAAATGGACAATGGAAAGATGTCCACTAGGCTACAGAAGCATCCAGTTCTAGATATCTTCTGTGTACGCACAAGGTGGAATGGATACAACGTGCCTTCCAGCTTGCCTTAAAAGCTTTCTATATGTGTAGTTCTGAGGTGGAAAGATTAAAAATAGGAAGAGTCTGGAGGGGAGTGAATATTCAAAATACGTTGCCTCTGTGACATCTCAGCTGTAGTTGCCAACAGGGATACTCAAGGGCACAGTTCAAAATCAGCTAAGCATAATGGGAATGTTTCCAACCACTTTCCTCCCCTTGCCATGCAGAATTCTCAGGGAAGTGAAAAAGAGATTCAGTGGGGTTCAATGCTCACAATAGTAACTTAGAAAGACCTCCTCCCGGCATGAAGGGAGCTAGGTCCAAGATATTCTCTTGGATTCTAGAACCTTCGACAATGAAATCAGAGAAGGAGCTGCTAAAGGGCACAGAGTCTCAGTCTCAGGTTACGATTACCAGGACAACCTCTCAGGTCCTAATCCCATGTTCCATTCCCTTTTGGATATTAAATTCACTTAAGCCGATTAGCCTGCTTTTGTGTTCTGTTGTAGAAAATATCTTTTAAACGGAGGACTGTCAGCACTATTAACTCAGTTTTTACCTGTTAAAGTGTATTCCATTAAAAAATACCATGAAACCCGAGGCAAACAGTGCAGGGCGAGGTGAGGGGGCTGATAAGAAGCCTTCACTCTTTCTTTCCTGTCAGAGAGCAAAATATTCGAACATAAAGTGACAAATAGGGTTGGCTTGAAATACCGCCTCTCCACAATTCAGAAAGTCAAGCCACATTAGGCCAAGCCAACGTTTCAAAGTGTAGAGCATCTGACCACATGTACGGCCAATGCCTGCAATATTGCACAAAGCCGACCAACATTCAGGACCGCTGCACCTGGAGCCACGAAAACACTTAAGTTCTAAGAGACACAGGGAGAGCGAACTACACATAAACATTTCAACACATTCTATTTTTACTAGAAAAGATAGTCAGGTCTTAACACACTCCCAGGGCTAAATGTAATGTTTGACAGACTGGTTGTAGATGGCCACTCTTCTTGCTGAGGCCGTGACTATTTATATACACTGCATGTGAATCTTTCATCTAAATGAAAACTGATGCTCAACATCAACATGTACATCCTTCAGGAAGGGACAAATGTAGGATCTTGCAAAGGCTGGGAATACAGCTGCTGCCTATGGGATGATCTCACATCTTATCCAAATTCTTAAGCCCACTCCTATGGGTTAGATGCCAGGTAACCATGTTCCTTTGGCCCCTGGAAGCTGAATTTACTGAGTTACTTAATATCCCACAACACAAACTGTGTGTTTTAAATAAGATCAAATTATGTGTCAACTATATTCAAATAAGAAAAATTCTTAAAAAAATGAAAATAAGACCAAAATTGTGTTCTATCATTAGGTGTTGTGTGCACACAATCAAATCTAAAAGTGTTTCCACCAGGAAAAACAGAAAACAAAATGTGGGCAAGTGACTGCTGACTTAGCATAACTAATTGAGGATAAATTTATAGTACAAAAGGGGGAATTTTGTTCTTAGCTCTGTAAGTACGGAGTTAGCTGTATTATATTACAGAAAGTTCTCTACTCTAAGGTAAATTATAAGGAGTCACACTTAAGCCCTAGGTGTGAGTATTATGATATATTAAGAAAATCTATTCCTTTTCCACGTTGGTTTATAGTATTTGAAATTAAATGAGAAAACTGTAGTATTTAAACGACATTCACATTAATACTTCTTCAGAGTTTATCAAAAAATCAATTTGCTTTTAATTGTAGGTTATGGGAAAGCACACTGTACTAGGAAGCATAAAAATACTCTTTGCTTTGTGTAATGTTCCTAGATGTCTAGTGCAGATTAAGTCCTATTAATATAAACATTAAGTGGGACATGTACATAGTTTTCACTATCCTAAAATTCTAATGTCCTGAAAATTATTAGGAATTAAATAGACAATAGGATAAAATTGAAAAGTGGAGTGCTTTCAGTAAGCAGGGTTTAAAGATTTTTAATAATGTTTTTAACTGAGTTTGTCTTTCATTTTAAAGTTCTACCAGATTGAGATCTGAGGATGAAATTTTCAGCAACCACAGCATACCTCTTGGGGAGACTACAACATTGCCGTGAAACCCTTCCTTTTAGTATTGATAGCTCCTGGCTGCCCAGCACGTGCCCCAGTTTATGAAGACTCCAGTCTACACAACGGTGGAGTATGGAATTTGTTTCCTTTCTAATAACACTGAAGCAATAATAAATCACACAGTTATACATTAAGGTGATTCTGAAATACACAAAAATACCACGATTTGTGCCATGTAGTTATGTGAATAATATTCCTAAGAGACTTTAAATCTTTAACACCCAACCTCTGTCAAACACTTTGAAGCACAGAACTATATTAAGAAAGCATGTAGCATTCAATTTCTGACATTTCATCCCCAAAGAAAGCAAAGCACAACAACAACATGTCTCTGAAATGCAAATTCCATTAAGTGCAAATTTCCAGAACACAAGGTCAATCTAGAAACACATTTTGAAATTCAACAAGTTCTCTTCTGAAATTAATATGCTCAGTACATAATTTTCAAAGATAATCTGAAGTGATTTTCCAATGTGTGTTCATAGTCTAACTTTTTCTCCCTCATAAAAATATATTCACTGGTTCATCTTCCATTTTCTGAATTTCACATTTATTAGCTCAAAATATCTAGCTGTACAGGAATATCTTTTCTCTCCACATTTCCAAGTATGAAATCGATTTGACTTAAATCTCATAATAAGAACACCACCAGGAATAACATTCCCTTATGTTTGAGCTTAAAGTAAATCCAAACAGCTCAAAAGGGAGAAATTTTGAATCCTCCCAACCAGAGAGTTGGGAATTAGCGTGACTTCCTTCAAACGATTTGTCAAGTGAATACTGTAACTAGACACAGAAAGAGATAGTCATCCCAAGAACAACATACTATTTTTGGACTTTCTAACTTGGCCTGGGCACAAGGGAGACGCAGAACCACGTGATCCCAGGAGAACTCGTAGAGGCCGAAGGTCTTACACTGAGCTTGAAAAGGGGACCACCTGCTTTCCACCCACATAAACCTCCTCAATATTTCGGTCATCTCCTGAAAGAAAAATGAAGGAATCATTCATAAAGTGTTTTTATGTCAATAGGTATTTTTTTAAAAGATTTATTTATTTGAGAGAGAGAGTGAGTGTGAGTGAGGGTTGGGGCAGAGGGGGAAGCAGATGCCCCACGAAGTGTGGAGCCCAAGCCGGGGCTTGATCCCACGACTGACCAGACGGGAGATCATGATCTGAGCTGGAACCAAGAGTCCCACACCCAAGTGACTGAGCCACCCAGGCGCCCCTATGTCAATAAGTAGTTTAATTGCCACGAGGAGGGATTTAAAAACAAATACCACTTCTAAGAAGGAAAATACAGGAAGCTGCCTTTTTTTCTCTCAGACTGTTCATAATCTGGACAAGGGGACATGACCAAGAGAAAGTGCTATATCAAATTGGAGGATTAGGGTCTGAATTCTGCACCGAAGGCGGAAATCACGGAAAGTTGAGTTGACTTTCCGTGGGCAGCACTTTCAGCTGGAGAGGTTTGCATTTCCGGCCCCGAGAGTAAAGGAAATACTTATCTTTACACCCCAGAATCATACTCAGCATGGTGAGAAGGAGGGCCGGCAGGAAAGGAGCTCTAGAAATGGCACCTGCATCTCTCTCATCTCCAGTTCACCCCGGACTCAGAGCTCCCCGATCAAGCGGGAGGCAAAGTAGAATCTTCCATACTATTTATTTCTCTCTCTCAGTGGATGGAATTAAATGTGAGTACACGTTAAAACACACACACACACCCCAAACCTGGGTGGTTAGACTCCACCACAAACTTATCACAAATGCAACGTGGTAGGGCGGACTGGGGTGGGTGTACAGAGTGAATGGGGGAGGAAGGGACACAGATGGCCTCTTCCCCTGCACCTGCCATTCCTCAGCTTTGGATTTATCTTCCAGAGGAGCCTGGGCATTTCCAATAGTGCCTTTAAATGGGCTTGATGCTGAGGAATGTTAAAATAGTACATCAAATGGAATGGTCACGCATAGAGTTTAACCTACAGGGCCACACATACAGGGAGCTGTACCCAAGAAAGAGACAAGGAAAGATTTTATTTAGCACAGAGACATATATCCACCTACCTAGGTAGAGGAACTTCTGGATGACAGCCTAAAATGCAAAATAAAGTAATAATAAGAAAAAATATTCTGTGCATTTAGAAGAGTAAATTCACAGCCAGTAGGGGTTGGCAAAGCACAGACATATAAATTTATTTCTCAGAGGCAAAATCTACTTCCATTAATGAAAAAGAAATGGGCTTCTTGTAGTCAAATACATTTAAATATATAAATATATTCAAAATACAAGTTTTTGTCAGTACCACTATTCTTAACATTTTGTTGACAAATTATAATAATTTGAAAAGGATCTACTTTCCCTTTTAAGAAAACCCTGTCTTCCCTTAAAATGTTTCCATTTCTATTTTTTTTCTATGGTGACTGCTTCATGAAAAAGAAGCCTTTTGATGAAATTTGTTTTACTTACTTCAGACGTATCACCAACCAAATCCCCAGAAAACAAGTCAATGGGAGAGTCAGATGCTTTGGGGTTGATCAGGAGGGCATCGAATTCCTTGCCCACTTCAAAGTTTCCAATCTCTTTATCCAGCCCCAGGGCTACAGGGTGGAATAAATTAGTAAACAGTCAGTATCTGGAGCCATCAGATGGTGAAAATGTCCCCGTTTGCAAGGACAGATTCTGCCAACATATTACTAGAAAAAAAAATGTATCTTAACATGAAGCAGAGAAGCTCTCTCATTCTAAGAGATCCTAAAACATTGTCACACAGAAAGCAGAATAAGCACATGGAAAGCAAAATCTGAGAATAAAAACAGGTCCCCTCATCACCACGATCTCTAATTCAGATGGTGTCTATTTCAGCTTTATTTGTGCTCTTCACAGTCCAGCTGGCCTATGATTTCCATTCATCCCTCTAAGAAACATGACAATTGACATAATGTCTTCTTTTTCCCTCCTATTCTCCGCCAACACTCCAACTCTTTTCGTTGCCCTTTTTGTTCTATGAAACAGCTGACAGGATCTATTTTCATGGCAGTGAAATGAACCTCAAATAAATAAGAAGTATCCTTTTGCATCTGTGCCAATGCAGACCTAACCATCCGAAGTTTCTTAGTTTAAATCCTCTGAATGGAGAAAATTCACTTCTGAAAGTAAATAGGTCCTCATAACTCAAGAGTGCCAATGCTTTAGAAAGCAGACCAACTGTTCGGTAACCTCAGAGACTTTCTGGTTGCCAGAGAAGAATGGTTTTCTAAAATGGGCATAGGTCGATACTATCTATTGGCTTGATCCATCTCATAGCGAGAACTCACGTTCCATGAATATCGGATGTCAGGAAAGAACATCTGTCATTTTTATGATTTAGTTTTAGAAGATGGCAGTAGTTGGCTTTCCTAGTCAATAAAAGTATTAAATCTAAAGCTCCTTAAAGCCTATAATCTGAGTGCACACTGAGCTACCAAAAGGAAGCATGTATAAAAGGAAGGCCAACTGGAGTGCAGCGTTATTTATTTGAATTTTTACACGTGTTGATTGAATTCTGTCACCATCAAGATATAGTCCAACATGAAAGTACTGGATCAGGTATCTCTGTTAGACACTATCTGGTATGTTCTCTTTCTCTGTATGGATATCCAGCAGCCTTTTGGCAGTTCCCCAAGCACTGATTAAGAAATCCGACTTGTTCTTAAAAGATTGTTTAAAGGGCAACTCTTTTATTCTCAGAAAAGAACAAGATTTTTTAGCTAAAGAATTCCTTTAGGAAGACAGGGGTGCAAAAGTAATTAGAAAATGTTAAAGGCAGTTAGGTGACTCCTACTAATTGTGTGGGAAGGACTGAATGTAATAGAAAATCACTGGACATTCTCTCCTCCTTTGCCAATTACAATTTTTTGCCTTTGATAAAGAAGCATAACAAAATATAAGTTTTTAATGACTGTATTCAACATAAAATTGTTGTGTGTTTAACAGGTCAGATAACCAGGTTCATTTGCCAGAGTTTTGATGGTACATATAAACTAAGTGAGCTAATTGTTCGAACCTGGAAGGTCAGTCAGGCGCTAACCAAATAAAGACACAATTGCTTTTACGAATTTGTAAATTGGTCTAAATTCAGATTATCGCAGAAAGGCCCAGTAGGGCTGGTAAGCAATTCAGATGCATTTCAGGAAATGCAGTTTTGCTGCCTTTGGAGCAGATGTCCCTGTGAAGGGGATTTATGCACATCTTGATCTTGAGAGTGAATGGAAAGGCTCTGACAAGCTGGGGAGATGCCACAATTTAAACAGCGATCCATTCATCTCATTTCACTCATAGTCTCACAGAGACATGAGCTAAGGAGAAGAAATTCCATCACAGTAAGCTCAGTGGCCCAGAAAATAGATTTAAAAGCTACACAGCAAGACAGACATGATTTGGTAAGCACCCCATGCCAGCTCGATCTCATACAGGATCCTGACGAAGCACCTCACAGGGAGCCTAGAATAAAAAAGGCACTTAAGTACAATCCATTTGCACCATGAAAATCAGATGTCAGCCAACAATACAAACAGGGAGGGGTGGGGATGGTGAACTTAAAAAAATGGATGATTTAAAACTTGGAACTTTAAAAAATGAAACCATAAGACTTAGGAAAATGCAAAGAGTATGACCCCTGCTAGAGATGTTCTCTATGGCATTCATCATAGCCCGGAACATTCAAAGAGCCAGAAGGTTTCTCTTCCCAGGGTACTCTCAGCTTCTATCGTCCTCCGTTTCTAAGACCCCAGGTGTCTATCATAAATCTCTCTCTCTGTATCTATACTGTCTCTATTTTGATATTTTTATTTCTCACTAGCTACCTGAGGTTTCATGCTGTGTTTACCATCATCCATCCAGATTACACCAAAATACGAAAGTGCCTGCAAGCAAGACAATTACCGATTTCTATTTTTTCCCTAAAACTATGGTTACAGGCGAGAACTGGAAAAAGCTGATGAACCGTATTTACATATCAACCAACTACACTTTTACATCTTTTTCCCTTTAAAGAGCTTTGGGTAATTAGTATCCTTAAATATAGCAACAAAATGCATAGTTTAAACTGGGATTTCCAGAGGAAGATATCACAGTGGAAGGGCAGGGACCTGCACTCTGGCATCAGATTTTCTGGATTCAAATCATGGCACTCTGTAGCTTGACAACTGTGTACGCCTCTCTCAGGTGCCTTGCGGGTAAGGAGGGATGAGTAGCAGTGGCTGTAAGGATGAAGTCAGGACACAGAAAGCATGACCCATAGTGCCTCTTACCTGGTAAGAGTTAAGTCTTGGCTATTATTTTTACTATTACTTTGAATATCATTACTATCATCCCTCAGGGCAATAGAGAACGTGTTACTCGACTCAGTGGGGGGAAAACATTATTTTAAGGAACTCACGTACATGTGACCATTGCAAATATCCATAAAAGTGCTTAATATAATTGTGTGTTGAACGTGTCGTCTGCCAAAGACAGGGGACTTGCTGAAGAAAGGATACCTCTACCACATGTCTGAACATTACCCACTAAATTTGGGGTATGGTATTTGAGATGCAACATTGGGGTGTGAATGTGGGATGCCTGCTGATGCCACTCTCGCAAGCCTTCATACTGCTTCCAAGGACGCAGACTGGCGTGGTTGTACACTGTTCAAGAAGGAGATAAAATGGTCATTACCTTGGCTGCCTCCAAGAGTAGCTAGTCTGAAGACCTCTTTGAGAGTGAGGCTTTTCTCGTTGATCTTATTAATTAAAAGGATATTGGAAACCATCACCGCTCTTCTGATTGCATCAAGCATGGAAGCTGAATAACCACCAGCCACATCTATGGTAGATAAAATAAAGCCACAACAGTAACCTTATTTGATAAATGGAATATTAGGTGTATGCGGTTGGTTTCTGGTTTTTGGTGACCGATATTCAGTCTGTAATACACTTCCAAGAAAAGATCTTATCTAGACACAGAATAGACACAGACTAACGGCTGAAAGAATTCAAAACCTGCAATTAGTATCAAATGATTTTTAAATGTATTCATTTCCTAGGGTCGCTACAACAAATTACTACAAATGCGGTGCTTAAAATAGTATAAATCTATTCTTTCAGAGTTTTGGAGGGCAGAAGTCTTAAAAGTGTTGGCAAGGTCATGATCCCAACAAAGGTTCTAGGGAAGAATCTTTCCTTGCTGCTTTCAGTTTCTGGAGGCTCCTGCAGTTCCTTGGCTTACCGCAATGTAGCTACAGTGTCCGCCCTGCCGTCAAAGGGCCTTCTCTCTGTCTACATGCCGTTCATTTTCTGTCTTGTAGGGACATTCATCATTGGATTTAGGGCCTGCCCTAATTCAGAATGACTTCATCTTGAGATCGTTACCTTAATGTAAAGGTAAAGATCTGCAAAGACCTTTATTCCAGATAAGGTCACATTTACGTTATTCAGCAGACATCTTTGGGGGTGGGGGGTGAGGAAGGGTGCACACAATTCAACCCAGTGCAACCAAATGGTCAATAAAGTTAAGAGAAGAAAACTCTTATCTCTGGATATTCCCTGAACTCTCACAGAAATATGCCTGCATAGTTATGAAGATAATGGATAACATGAGATTTAAAACAAGCTCACAGTTCTATGCCCTTAAAAACTCATCCTAGCTCTATTCTAACCCAGATGAAGACTTAGGGAATTAAAAGCTACTTCTTTATGATAATTTTTCAGGGAGAGATTTTAGAATGGACTATGTTTTTTTTGTTGTTGTTGTTTTTTAAATTTTTTATTGTTATGTTAATCACCATACAGTACCTCATTAGTTTTTGATGTAGTGTTCCATGATTCTTTGTGTGTGCATAACACCCAGTGCTCCACGCAGAACGTGCCCTCTTGAATACCCATCACCAGGCTAACCCATCCCCCCACCCCCCTCCCCTCTAGAACCCTCAGTTTGTTTTTCAGAGTCCATCGTCTCTCATGGTTTGTCTCCCCCCCCGATTTACTCCCCTTCTAGAATGGACTATGTTTATATTTTTTTGTGGTGGTTGTTGTTGTCTATTGACTATTTTTTTGAGAACAGTTTAAGGTTCATAGCCTGATAACTTTTTTAAGGTGTTACTTTTAACATTGTACATATGCTCTCTTAAGATACATCTTTGAGTTTTGCTTTCATTTTTTAAATTCTTTTACAACTTTTTAAATCTTGTTTCTATTTTAACTGACTTAGCCTTCCCTGATATGCTGTTGTCCCATCACTTCCCTAGGCCTTGGCCCATTGTTTTGTCTCATAACTCATTGAATGCCGTAGATTTTCAAGTAATTTTTTCCAAGAGTTCATGGGCAGAAATATTTTCCAAAACTTTGTCCATCGGAGAATTTTGTTGCCTTTGCACATGAGGGAGAATCTCGTCCAATATAATATTCTTGAGTAACAATTATTTGGCTCCAAATTCTTCCTTGTTCTTGCTATTTTTCATGCCAGCAAAAACACCCTAAACCAAACTGGTTTTTAATTGTTTTACTGATAACTGACTTTTTTCCCTGCCTCAGTATTTAAGGACTTTTTTCCTTTTTCTTTGTAATTCCAGTATCTTGCCAATTATAATTTAGCCTAGAACAGGGTAAATTCTTTGAATATGATACACAGTTCTTTCTTAAGCTCAGAAAAGATTTATCCTTCACAACTTCTCTTTGACTTGTTCTGGATCCTGGGTCAGGAAAACCCCCTGTGTTGGTGTTATTCTTTCTATGCTCCATGTGGATCATTCTCAAACACCCCCTTTGATCTTTGATCAATGTTGTTTTCCACATCACTGATTTAATTTTCTGCAATAGTTCTATTTCTCATAGCTTCCTAAAATGGTTTGTTATTTTTAAACTGAAATATAATTAAGATAACATAAAATGCTCAGGTGTCTAGTTTGATGAATGCTAATAATTGTACATAGCCATTTAACTACCTTTCAGAAAGACAAGATATTAAACATTTTCATTGCTCCAGCAAGCTCTCTCTCTCGGCCCTTTCCAGTCAATTCCCCTCCCTCTCCCCATCCCCAACCCTTGGCAACCACTTTCTGATTTCTATCAATAATGTTAGCTCTACTCGTCCCTAGGTTTCATGCATCTGGAGACATACCGCATGTGCTCTTTTGTGCCTGGCTTTTTTCACTTAACCAAATATTTTTAGATTTACCTTTGTTTCGCATAGATCAGTGGTTCCTACTTTCTTGAATGCTGAGTGGCACTCCACTCTATGAATATGCCACAGTTTGCTTATCCATTCCCCTGTCTGTGGGATTTTGAATTGTTTCCAGTTAGGGGCTATTATAAATACAGCTGGTATAAACATTTGTGTACAATTCTTTCTGCAAACATATGTGCTCATTTCTCTAGGGTAAATAGCCCAAAATGGAATTACTGGGTCATATGTAGATGAATCTTTAACTTTATAAGAAATAGCCAAAAAGTTTTCCAAAGTGGTTATAAAATTTACCCTCCCTCCAGTCATGTAGGATTGTCTACATGCCTCTCACTCTTTTTTTCCCCCAGTTTTCTTCTTTCACTTAAAAAATTTCTTTTTCCATCACAACTTGTGGTCTTTTCATAGTACCATGTCTTCTTATACTCCAAGGGTGATGGCAATTCTCTGAGATTTTCTTCTAGATCCTGAAGTAGATCATTTTCAGAGATAAGCTCATCTTTTTTTTTTTTTTTTTGAGAGAGAGAGAGAGTGCACACATGTGCATGAGTAGGGAGGGGGGCAGAGGGAGAGAGAGAATCTTAAGCAGCCTCCATGCCCAGCATGGAGCCCAATGTGAGGCTCGATCTCAGGACCTTGAGATCATGACCTAAGCTGAAATCAAGAGTTGGACGCTTAACTGAGTGAGCCACCCAGGTGCCCCTCATTCCTTTGATATGACTTTCTTCTGTTTTGCAATATTTTTGTTAAGCTTCACGTGGGCTTCTCCTATCTAATAGTTGAGAAAGTCCAGATCTGCCTCCACTTGTTATAGACAGGGTGAAAAAAACACTTTTGGACCTGCTCTCTGCCCATAGTATGAGGTTAAATGATCTTCTGAAGCCTACAGGGGATGGGCAGGTTGATACATAAAGGTCATGCTTCAAAAAGAGTGGAACATAGTGGGGCTATTGCAACAGAGACTTTGTAAAATGCAACAGCATTCTCCCAATTCATAAGTGAATATATCATATTTGATCAAAACTTTGGTCAATACACCAACATTGCTCTTTCCCTTTAAACCAATCTTGATTGACTAGTGCAATGTGCAAATATGTGCTAACCATTTTGCATGCATTTTTTTCTCATTTAAGCCTCAAAACAAGCTTATAAGATAGACATAGTTATAACTGTTGTTACTGTTACAGAAATTAGGGAAATGAAGTCTTAGAAAATTAAGGAAATTTGCTCAAAGTCTTAACAGCTAATAAGTGACAAAGTTTTACCTAAATATTTTATCCATCACTATCCAACCCAAAGTCAAGAACTGGAAGTTATGTGATGAACTTAAATCATGGAGACCAAAATCCTAGAAAATTGGAAAGCAATACCTACCTGATTTTTGGCTGTCTATAAAATTTTTCATTAACGGACTAGTGTGTAAAAAATTCTTGGCCATGTTTTTTCGTATTCATTAAAGCTTTTCTGTGAAGGTAAAATAACTACCTTAACACCTGTGACTATATCCAGGTATTACCACAGTCTCAATGATTGAAGACTTAAATAAGAACTTTTTTTAAATCATAATTCTTTTGCTCATATAAAACTGGGGAGAACATCTAATCTGGCACACCTCTTTAAAAATAATAATTCACTTTGTTTTATTGTATATCTTAGCAATACTGCTGGTATAAAAGTAACTGAGACGTGAGTTATTGCAGAAAATGATGACAACCATCATCATCAATATGCATGATGCAATAAGTATCAGGAAGACAAATGCATGAGGAATGGAAAATAAATCCTTGTGCCCCACACCCATTAAAAAAATTTTTTAGTTTATTCACACACAGTAATAAAAGGTTCACAGGGGATATGCCTAGACATTTGGGCCTGTCTCATACTTTCAAAGTGAGCAGCACTGCACACAGGAAAAACAATTAAAATGTATTGTGTGGGGGGGGGGGGGGGGGCAACACCACTAATTCATCAGCCACCTAGAATGTCCTTCAACGCGGCAAACAACAGACTGCCTGTGGGAACTGGAATCTCATTTTGGGCAACACTGCTCAAAATCAAAGCAAGTTCTTACTATATCTCAAAGTTCTCACTGCTGGCATAGACTGAATCTCTGCTCCCTATGGCAAGGTCAACTAATTTTCTTTTGAGACAGTATTTGTGATGACACAGTTATCAAAAACTAAAACCATACAAATCCAAACCATCAAAACCCAGCCAGAAGGACAAAACAAAAGGGGAAGAAAAATCAAGGAGTTAAAAAAAAAAAAAAAAACAAACCAACAACAACAAAACCAAAAAAACAATAAACCTCTACAGCACCGTAGAAGGACTTACCTTTTATCACCCAATCTCTGAACACTAAGTGAGGATAATGGCCTTCAGATTAGCATCATAAAAACTTCTCCCTTTGCATACATTTTCTTACTGCTGCAACCCACCATTTTATTAGCTCGAGATAGTACTCCCAGATAAGAAAACTAATTTTTTAAACTGTTACCCGAAACTTAGTCACATCATAAAGTTATGCACTTACTCGACCACTTTGACTATGTCCAAATAGCAAAATACTGACCTGTACCCAGCCCTATTTTCACTTCATGTTTCAGGACTTCTAGCACATTGAGAAAGCCGCTGCTGAGCCTGTAGAGAAAGGAGACGTCAGGACGAGGAGACGCATGTGTTTCCAACAAAAAAGGACACCAGCAATAAGGATGGTGATTTCACTAAAATTGTGTGTTCCGTCGTAACAGCTCTCATGTTGACACAAACACATTGGCCAAATCAGATCATCTGAGTCCCGGAGTGAAAAAACGATCATAAAGGAGCTTTACTCCTTGGGTTGAGGTTAATCTCAGGAGGGTACAAAGCAGCAAGAAACAGAAGGAAAATGGGATCATTTGTAAGGAAAAATAAATGAAGAAATTCAGTCTTGCCATTCATGCAAAAATCTATTGGTCTTCAGTGTTGTTTTGTTTTAACAAACTCATCCTTCTATGTTCAGAAGTAGAAATTATAAAGCATTGTCTTTGCTCTCTGTCTGGGATACTGTGTTACCCAAATGAGTAGTGCCTTGCAAAATCAAAGAAAGAGGGTATTACTGGGAAAGGGGGTGCAGGCTGATGAGTCAGGACAGTTCACAGGACCACAGCAGCTAGGAGAGAACGTTCCAGGCTGAATTCCGGAGATTATGACCCTGAGCTTACTAGATGTGCTGCCTTTCTAGAGAAACAAGGGAAAACTAAAGCGTTCCTTAGAAGTCTGAGAAGAGGCCAAGGTCACCATGGTCTCCTTGAAGATGCATGTTAACTAACCATCGTCAAATCCCCAGTGCACGTGCAATAAAACTTTCAAAGTTGTTGGAGCCAGAATAGCAGTGACCATCTAAACAGAAACGTATCCATGAAGAAATGTAACTTCCAACCTCAATTTGCAAAGCTGGATCATATTTTAATTTAGATATTGTGTAACTAACCCATGGGATGTTAAATCCTTTCCCCGTCGGGTCGCTAGACCATAGTTATGGTCACTGGCCATGCACAGGAAGATTCCCTGTCATGTGTGACTACTTTATGTCTGAAAACCAGAAGGCTCTGGAACCTCTCAAAACGCACCAGAAATATAGCTCTTTGGTTCTCATGCATTTCCTATACCACCTCTGACACATACCCCTTTTTGCAGTCAACTCCCTAGACTTCCAGCTGCCCGCACCTCCAGCCCTACCTCGCGGCTCTTTCCCCATCACAGAGCCTACTCTGCCCTTGTTTGGGGAAGGTCGGGGGTTCAAGGGAACTGATACCTCTTGACCTCACCCAGCAGCCCTCCACAAATAACTGACAGTGTGTGGGAATGACGATCCCCGCTGCCTCACTCCTGAGGCAGAATGACTTTGAGGTCTGTTTTGTACATCGGTTCCCTGAGCTTTCTGGAAGAATTAAACTCCAGGAGCCCACAACGGTAAGCTGCTTGATGATGTGCTCTTACTGATGTCCTTCCCTTTTCTGTCTTACCAGCCAACCTCCAGAGGTCACCTTCAAATAAACTACTTGTACATGAATTGTCTCATGGTCCGCTTCTGCAAGAACTCAAAACAGGAGAGGATACAAAATAATCCTCAAAAAAAACCACTAAAATCTAGCAGAACCTAAATTCGCTGAATGAATATTATGAATGATCCATCTCAACCTGCCTCTAAGTGGGAGGAGCTCTATTCTGGATCAATTAGCACCAGAAATGAGATCCCTTCTGCATCGAATCCTGGAGCATGGATTCCTAACCTAGCATCCATGGATCAGTATCACGGGATCTATGAATTCCCTGAAATTAGATGTAACATTTCTGCATCTGTGAGCTTTTTTCTGAAAATACAGGCCATAATTTTCATCCGACTCACTTATGGATCTACGACCTTGCAAAGGGTTAAAAACTAATTATAGATAAAGCTTTGCATTCTGGGGAATTACAACAGGACACGGTCTCTCCCGTGTGAACTGGCATCCTGTAGGATCCAGCAGCATGATTTATATTGTGGGGTGTCGGCTTACGGCAGCACTGCTCCTTCTCCTGACCGCAGAGTATGCAAAGTCAGTACCCTCTCCCTGGACTGCCTGCCTGGCCTATTGCGTTCCTGCGGTCCTTAGCTGCAAACCCCGAGATGCTGTAGGTTTTGAACTCTTTCTGTTATATTTCCTACTGTCCCATTTTGGGCAAATGCAGAAATTTGAAGAGATGCTGTGTTCTTCAAATGCATACTCTGCAAAAAGTATCCTCTTTTGTGTGCTCTTTCTCCCCACCGAGCACAGGTAAGCCTCTGTGCGTCTGTCTGGTTCCTGTCCCAGTCAGACAGAACTCTCGAAGAGGGACACTGGAGGCCTGACTGAGAAAACAAAGATATTTGGGCTGCTAATTCGCAACCCAAATGCTCATCACCGGCCGACCGGTTATTGCCTACTTACGATAAGTTAGAATTGGGGCAATGCGAGATCGCTGCTCCTCGCTCCTTGAACACCTGCAGCTCTTCTGTGGAAAGGTAGCACCCATGCGCCATCACTGTCTGGAGAGAAGAGTATCCTATGTGGAGTTTACCCCTTAAAAAATGTTTCCCTTAGTCTTGACTCACAGCAAGATGTTACAGGTACAGATTGAAGCAGTGACTTATCTGTGAGCATCTTCACAAGAGCACTTATGATTACTTGTATGTATAAAATCCCTGTGTACAAGTTACCCCTCAAAAAAGGCCTGTAGGGGGGTGCCTGGGTGGCTCAGTCGTCAAGCGTCTGCCTTCGGCTCAGGTCATGATCCCAGGGTCCTGGGATCGAGTCCCGCATCGGGCTCCCTTCTCCGCGGGAAGCCTGCTTCTCCCGCTCCTGCTCCCCCTGCTCGTGTTCCCTCTCTCGCTCTGTCTCTCTCTGTCAAATAAATAAATAAAATCTTTAAAAAAAAAAAAAAAAGGGCCTGTAGAAACATTGGATTACACAAGTCTCAGCCAATATTTCTTTTTTTCTATAAAATAACAAGGGTCCAGGTGATCGACAGGATAGAATATCCAACCAGCTCAAAGATACGACACAGCCTTCATCTCTGCTTTAGAAAAAACCAAGTTACTTCATTTTCAAATTCTACCTGGTGAGCAACTGGTGGGGCTGGGCTTGTTCCCATCTCAGTCAGACTTTGTAGAAGTAAGTTTCCTTTGTCAGCACATGGAAGCTGTGGGCGTAATCCTGGAAAGAGGTGTTCTGTATTTCTGCTCCTAGTTGAATACAGACACCGATGCTCTTTTTTGTTGTTGTTGTTGTTGTTGTTGTTTTAAAGATTTTATTTATTTGACAGAGACATAGCGAGAGCAGGAACACAAGCAGGGGCAGAAGGAGAGGGAGAGGCAGGCTCCCCGCGGAGCAGGGAGCCCGATGCGGGGCTCGATCCCAGGACCCCAGGACCATGACCTGAGCCGAAGGCAGACGCTTAACGACTGAGCCACCCAGGCGCCCCCCGATGTCTTGATATATAAAACCAAATAATCTTTATTTATCTATTTTTAAGTCTTTTTTTAATTGGAGTATATTTGACACAACCAAATAAACTGTTTTATCACCTATATTTACATTTTCACAAAAATTAGGAAATATAATATTTTATAAGCATTAATTTGGAAGATAAAATTGACCCAAGAAGGCAGGCACTGCCCACATACAACACTTCTCTGTTTAGTCCTGGTAATATTTGTGGGTTTTCCTGAAAAGGATTTAAGTCTTTCTCATGGTATACATACAATGTATTATTACTCAGCAATAACAAAACATGAGATCATTTGCAACAACATGGATGGACCTCAAGGGCACTATGCTAAGTGAAATAAGTCAGACAGAGAAAGACAAATACCATATGACTTCACTCATATGTGGAATCTAAAACAAAGAAAAATTAGCGAGCAAACAAACAGAAGCAGAATCAAACCTGTAAACACGGAAAACAAACATGGTTGCCAGAAGGGAAGGTGTGGGGGGGACGGGACAAAATGGGGGAAGGGGAGAGGGAGACACGCGCTTCCAGTGATGGAATGAATAAGTCATGGAACTAAAAGGCCCATCCTAGGAAATAGAGTCAATGGTAATAGGTTGTATGGTGACAGATGGTAGCCACCCTTGTGAGCATAGTGTAACATAGGAAAGTTGAATCGCTATGTTGTACACCTGAAACTCAATGTAACAGTGTGTGTCAACTCCACTCAAATGAAAAAAATTAAAATTAAAAAAAGGCTTTACTCTTTCAAAATTCTTTTTCCTTCAGTTCAAAACCTGTTTCCAGATAGCTTTCTCCTTTGGGAGGCACAGTTCAGTGACCAAGGATTACTAATAAAATAAAATTTTCCCAAACTCTGTGCAAATAAAATTAACATGCAAATGGCAGGTTAATTTATTATTCACATGGAAATATATGTAGAGAAGGATGAAAATTACAGTGTAGCATTTGCAAGATCTATGTAGAGTATTAACCTTTCAAATTAGTCCTATTCAGCCTTCCGTTCACAGTCCCGAAGAATTTATTTGCTGCAGTATGTTCAACTCTCCATGAAGTTTGTACAATTCATTGAAGGCCAAGGCCAAGGGGTATATTGTTGTAATGAAGTGTCTCCTCACTATATTAATTTTAATGTGAAATTATTTAATTATGAAAGTATTATACACTCTTTTTTTTTAAAAAGCAATACCACAGTGTTTAAAAATAAAAGAGTAAAGGGCGCCTGGGTGGCTCAGTTGGTTAAGCGACTGCCTTCGGCTCAGGTCATGATCCTGGAGTCCCAGGATCGAGTCCCACATCGGGCTCCCTGCTCAGCGGGGAGTCTGCTTCTCCCTCTGACCCTCTTCCCTCTCATGCTCTCTCTCTCTCCTTCTCTCTCTCTCTCAAATAAATAAATAAAATCTTAAAAAAAAAAAAGAGTAAAAAGTCCCCTGTTTTCTCCCTCAGGAGGATCACATTTAACAGTCAATGTTTGTATTCCAGACAATTATTTTTTTTTAAGAGACAGAGAGAGAGAGAGAGAGAGTGCATAAGGGGGGAGGAGCAGAGGAAAAAGGAGAGAGAGAATCCCAAGCAGGCTCCATACTCAGCGCAGAGCCTGATGCGGGGCTTGATCCCAAGACCCCGAGACCGTGACCTGAGCCCCACCCAGCACCCCTCCAGAAATTTTTTCTAAATGAGCATGCACCCACATACATCAAACAATACCATATTAACATTCTTCCTTGTAAGCCTGTATACATCATTCTTGTGAAAGCTGGATACAATTTTAATTATGGATGTTCTGTAATCTAAACAATCACCCACTGATAGACATTTCCTAACTTGCACATTAATTAACATTCTTATTCATATTCCTTACAGAATGGATCCTTAGAAATGCATCTGCTAACTCAAGGGAATGCACATTTACGTTCTAATGGATACTGACAAAATGTCTTTGGACCAAATGACATTCCCATCCTCAAAGAAGCCTTGAGATTTATTTACTGGGATGAAACTGCAGGCCGATTTTTAACTATATACCCACGCATGAGCATCCTCTGAGCTTTACTCTAGTTTGGGAAATGCACACATGTTGGAGAAGTCTGAAGATTACCATTGAGATTTTATTTTGTCATTTCATTTTTTTCCCACTGCCCCCCCAATTACAAAGATTTTAAAATGTAGATAAATATGCCCTACTCGACACAGATTATGTCATGATATGCAATGTACCTTATTTGTCAGAAGATTGTTTCTATCATACACATCTGTGTAGTTTTTATAATCGGGAAATAGGTTCTTCACAGCTTCAACTTCATTGACAGTTTCACTTATATGGCTCTACAAGAAAATAAATAATACTTGCAATTTTCTAATGTGAAATACCATTAGAAATTATACTTCCTACCCCAAAATGATAAGGATGGTTTCTACTTGCCTATGTAAGACAACAAAGATGCTACATGTGTTGTATTGAAAACAGTTATACATATTATATATAATATCACATCTATATGAAAAAGAAACGATGAACGTGAACATGATAGTTACATGAATATGTAATGTTCTAGCCCTAACCTTGACCCATGTTATATTCTTTCTATAGCAAGTACGTACGTGAAGACAGTACTTGAACCTAGCTATTTGTGGCAACTTGCCCCTTTTGATATTGGCCATTTAAGAGAAGAGCTTCATAGCCATAAAAGGACAGACAGCATGGTTCACTCATACAAAAACTAGAATTTGAACAAGGAGAAATGAATGTCAGCTCAAGTTCTGAGCCTACTTATGTTTCAGTAGGGTGAGTCAGGTCTTCCCTTTGGGTCTCTACAGTCTCATCTTTCAAATATAAGTGTTGGGCTAAATGGGTAGTTTTCCAAGCTCTTTCAGCTTTGAGTATGTCGTTCATATAAAAATTCATAGAGATACAATATGTCAAAGGCATAAACAAGTTGCTTCTCAGGGACTCTAGAACCCTGTCCTCATTCTGGCCCCGTTGGCAACTTCCCAAGTGATCTCTTCCACAGAAGACAGTTCGAAAATAACTGGCCTCGACAATCCTGCTGTCACCAAAACAAGAGCCCATAAAAATCATGTCCAATCAAAACAAATGAGTCCTGGCCCCCATGCCAACCTTTCTCTAGGACACCATAAACCCCACGCCCTTGCCTAAAACAAAAATCCTTCCAGACCAACTGGTGATGAGTACATATAATAGGAAAAAACTCATGAGCAAGTTGCCACTTCCAAGAATGGCAATGCCATTCCCCCTTCTCCATGAGGTAGTGTGAGCCAAAGAAATAAGAGAAAAAAAGAGCAAGGTTCTAAAAACAGAGTGTTCCACCTAGAGGCTGAGCTCTATCCTGGCCTCGAGGAACTCTAGACCACTGAAGAAATGCATGGGCATCTGAAGAGAAAAAAAGGACAACCAGATGATTCTTTTCACTTTGATAAATTTGAGTAAATGCTAAATGCACATGCACATATGCATACCGCACCACCCCCCCACCCCACCCCACCCCCGCAGCAAGGATATACTTGATTTTGTTTTGTGTTCATGGAGTTCAGGACACACTAGCTCCAAATATGGCACCATGGTATACTGCATATTTTAAGCTGAAGGAAAATAGCCGAAGGTCAGAATGAAACAGATCATAAAGCTTTTATGTGAGGCGTGCCCACCCTATCCTCGGAGGAGAGGAGCATCCTTATCTCTGAAGACAAATGGATGCCCCAAGGAATCCAAACAATTATTCCTCCATGACTATGCACTTGTCACCAAACCGGCCAGGCCTAGAAATGCTCTCTTTCTTTGGGTCTTCATTTCCCTATGAAGCCTCCTTATCATGTAAAACTTATTTTAAATACATTTGTATGCTTTTCTCCTATTGTCGTTGTCAATTTAGCTTTTAGACCCAGCCAGGGACTCTAAGAAGGTCGAATAAAACTTTTTCCTCCCCTACAATTGTGTGGGATCGAATCAAAAATACAAATATCACAGTCCCCCAAAAGGGGGGAGGGAGTGATGAGAATAGTTAAGGAGCCCCAACAAAATCAATCTTATTAAAAAAACAAAACAAAAAAAATACCCTCCACCCTGATAAAGAATCAATGTGTTCTGCCTTTCCCCTAACTTGCCCTTGGTTATAAGATAGTCCACTCTTAAGAGGGAAAATGTTGGTGCAGCCTGTAATGAAGCTTGGGTCGGGGAAGGAGAGCCTGCAACTCCCAATTTTAACCCAGCTGGAAGCTTTAAAAAGTGTTTCATTCCTAAATTGCAACCGTTTAATGACAAAGTAAGATATCCTTTTTTGTTCCTGATTTTTAAATTAAGAAACTCAGAACAAAAGGGCTTTTAAATGCCTTTTTGTGAGGGAGAAACTAGGTTCTTTTTGCTTTTCAAATAATAGGTGGTTCCTCCAAAAATGAAGGACTAGAACACTGAGAAAAGGGTCAAATAAAAGAGAGAAGTAGGAAAGAAACGAATTAAACGTATCTTACAGAGAACAGGTAACCAGTGTGTTACTGATCTGGCCTGGTTACGTATGACGTCCTCGTCTAAGTCTGATCAGAGAAGATGAGGGTAAAAGGAACTTCAAGTTTCCTATCTGAGAAATTAAGAAGTGGATTTAGGTGACGTCTGTAAGAGCCCTCCCTGTCCTATGATGCCATTTCTCTAGGAGATCTCAGGAGAAGAATTGGAGATGACTGCCAGAATTTAGGGTACTGAAAAGTCTTGCAGGTCCGGACAGGGGCACAAACAGCAGAAAAATACCCACCTGAATATGCAAATTATGGGTCTTCGCCATGTTTCCCAGTTTACCCAACAAAGTGTCAGAGCAGGAAAGGGAAAACCGTGGTGTCACTATGGGCTTAACTCTAGAATACTGGAAATAATAAAAAAAAAAAAAAATTGGTAAGGAAACTATGGATATCAGGAAAGTGTGGTATACCCCAACATGCATATCATACAACATGATAATTTTATGTCTTCATTTTGGAGGATAGCCCCCCATTCTAAGAGTGGGTGGAAGTAGTGGGTTTCACGGAAAGAGCTCTTGGCTGAGGACAACAGAGAGAATATTCTGTAGCACCAAGTTCAATGGAAGAAGATCCTGCCTCCAAGGACAGACAGCCCCAGTCCCACATCCACATGAAGGCTCAGAGAAGGCCTTGACTGGGTGGCCTTCATGAAGAGAAATGGGAAGCAGAAGAACTTCTAAAGGAGGCTGCTCTGGGGAGACTCAAAGTGAAGTGGTGGTCTACTCCCCATCTATGTCTTGGGGAGGAATGCCAGCCATGGCCTCCCTCAGGACATCTGGGGGCAGTACTGGCTCTGGTGTCATCCAAGGTAAAGGCTGAGCAGGGGAGAAGGGCTCAAGAGAGGGGTGGTGAGCATGAGGACCCCCAAAGCTCCACCTAGTTCTCCCAAGACTAGGCTGAAAGTAATAGGGTTCTCACGGTTTCCGATTAGACCTCAAAAGTTGGTAAGGGAAGGGTCTGGCTTGCCGATCTAAGAGGTTGTACAATGGAGCTATGAATTGACCCTGCTAGGAGTGGGGGAAGGAAACAGCCCTGCCTCCATAGGCTCACCAACACCAGGCACTGCAAAGAGGAGTGGCCGGCCGAGGGCCTGCAGGCCATGTGACATACCACACGTTAGGGACCAAGGCAGCCAAAGGCTGGGGCATCATGGTGGACACCACCTGTGCTCCAGACCAGATCAGGGAGTACAAGAGGCCAGAGCCAATGTTGATGTAGCCAACTTCCAGTTGCTCCCAATCTGTCCACATCCATGAAGCCCTCTCCCACCTCCCCAGGGACCAGTCCTGTGTGATTAGAAGCTTCCAGAGAAGAGAAAGGGAAAACCACTGAGGAGACAAAAAAGCCCGACCTCACAGAGCTGAGTTGATGGGTCGACTATAAAAACAACTGAAGGCTCTGGGGAGACATTTCTGCATGCGTGGAGTAAGCCAAACGTACACAGACTAATCTTTATCAAACAACTTAATAGCAAATCTTACAAATGACACAAAAGCAATCCAAAATCAGGCTGGGAACAAGCTTACTTACGTTCTTTTGGAGCATTCTTGACACAAATCTGAAATAAAGCAACAAATGGGAAGATAGAAAATCTTGGCATTTTTAAATAGATTTTTTAAAAGGGTGAAAACATGATCCTTACATGTCTTAATTTCCATGCAAACAGTTCTAATGCCATACATGTTTCACCACCACTAATTAAAGATTAACAAGTAGTAATTACTCTGCTTTCTCATTTGCAGCCAGAGAAATAGAGTGCAAAATCACAGGGAAATGCAATTTTATCCTCTCACATCAGCTGGGCTGCTCATGAGTATTCCCATACCACTCAACCATTCCACTGGCTTAAGCTCTATTTGGGGGAATATTGCAGGATGTTATGCTCCATGGATATTAGAATCACGGAATCCTATGCACCTGGAGGCATTTAGAAGCCATAGAACTCTATGGGCACAGATGTCGGAGTAAGGCTGATGGAACAGGCCAGAGGTGGCTGTGAAATGGAGACGGGGGAGAGGGGAGGAACCGGACGGGGGTGGCAATCAGGGATGGTGGTGTCCGTAGGGCCTATTAAACAGCGGTTTGTGCCCCAACTGAAAAAATTTATTCGCTAGCTTTCTGCCTTCCGGTAGTCCTTTGTTTCAGAATAAAATGGGGACTAAAGTTTACAATGACCACAAACACACATCCATAGGAAAGTTCAGCATGTGGCCAACGATAAAAGGAAGGTGCATGCTTCACTCTTTCTGTGAGCAGGTGGTGGTTCCTGAGCTACGCTTTCCAGAGGACACATTTAAGGTGATGGAGGTCTGGAATTGTAGGAAAGTTGGGCTTCTAAAACTTGCCTCAGGATAGGTTAGGTCCTGGGGAAGATTTACATCTAAAGAATGTCCTTCTATATCTCTTGGATCTTGGATGTCGTGTCGAATGTCATACAACGCAATTCCTTGTCAAACCAAATCCTCAAGGGACTATGGAAAAGCCATTAAAGCAATGTGGATAAAGTACTTTTGAGATCCGTAGACTATTCCAGTGTAATATAAAAAGAACATAACAAAAGCTCGTGATCTCAGGCAAGAGGGTGACCCCACCACCAAAAGTAATCTGATGCGCAGACCACATACACTTAAAGCAAGTTCAATTTACAGGAGAAGCCTCCATCTATAATAAAGGAGAGGGAAGCGGTAAATCATTAACTTATAAAAAGAATCCTTCATTTCACAAAGGGATTCACCCTAGGACTCTATAACAAATTCCCAGAGGCTACCAAATGGTATTGACATGGAACGCTTTCTTTAGGACCAGACCACCTGCACAAAGTAGGGCAAACCCACACAGTGACGTATGCGCATATCGGCCTGGTTCACTCTCTCCCCATCTCTAACTCCATCAGTGCCTCAGAGGGACCACCCACAAGACAAATCAAGATGCATGTACCTCTCTGTTTCCTTGACTGATTCCTCAGTGGTTTCCTTGTATTCTGGAACAGTGGTATTCATATCCATGCAGACTTTGCCCACAAATGCACGCTGCCCAAATTTATCTGTGAGAGGCACACAAAAACAGAATCTGAAGTCATGTTTTCCCCTGCAAACAATATATCCCTCTTGAGCCTTTAGAAAACACATTTAAATTAAAATCATTATGAAAACACAAGTGAGAATGTAAAAGATCATTTAAGAACGCCATTTAAGAACAATAACAACGACAACAAAACCACACCAAATTCTATAAGTAGTTCAAGGTCTTCCACTGACTCCTATTCCTTGGATTACTACCAAGATGGTGATAATATCTGATTAAGGTCTAACCCTGTATGTGCCCAGTGTCCTCTGTTATGTGTAGGGTTGTGAGGAATATACCCAGTAATGTATATAAAGTGTCTGGCCATGTAGGGCTTAGAAAAGATACGGTCACTTTTCCTAACCGTAGCAACGCCAATATTATCATCAGTGGGGAATTTGACATAGTCCTACTAGCAGCTCTCAGCACTAAGGAACCTGGTCCTCATTAGAGCTGCCAGAGAAATTTTATTTCAGCTAGAACGTTGAAGCTACATGGGGTGATACTGTTTGTACAATGTCTCTGCCTCTGTCATAAGAATCTTACAAAAGTCTTTTTGCCCCTCTCTTTCCCCTGTAATTCATTGTGATACCTGGCCATTAGATTACTCTTAACGTGAAACACCACTTTCATCACATACCTCATCTGGCTCAAAATCTTTGAGTATCTGATGCATATTCGAATCTCTCCATGGTCTGAACCATCCCAGCTGCCCAACCTCCTCTCCCCCCCTCACTATGCAATGAATCCTGTCCTCCAGCTCAGCTACTCTGTTCCTTGCTTCCTGTATCCACTGTGGATATTCCTGTCCCCATAGCTTTGTCCATGTTATTTCCCCTGTTGGGAAGACATTTTCCTCCCTCCCCATTTTGTGTTCCTGTAGGGCCCTGTTTAAAGGCCCCCTCTATGAATTCTTTCCAGATGATCCAATTCTGAGTCTTCTCTGTCTCCTCCAGAAATAGCAATATATATTTTCAGGGCTACCCTTTAAGCCTCTGGCAGAACCTACCTTGGCCAGCAAGCAGAAGTATCAGTGCATCAGCCAACGGTATTTACTGAGCATCTGCCATGTTCTGGGCACTGTGCGAGGTCCAAGTTTTGGAATTACTGATCTAAAGCCAGTCTCAGACCTGCTTACTAGCCGTGTGACTTGGGCATGTTATGGCCTCTGAGCATCCATTTATCCATTTGTAACATGAGGGCACGAATGCCTACTTCCAAAGACTGTTTGCAGCTGAGCTGAGATAATCCATGGAGAGTGCTTTGTGCAAAGCCAGGCATCCAGCAAGAGCACAGCCGCTGTTAATACAGTCATTTTCTATTTCATTGTGTTCCCAGCATCTAGCACAGTGCCCTAAGTCTAGCCAAGAGCCAAGATGTGTCTGCGGATTATAATATAATAAACTGTTGCCACAGTGAGAATTAGTAAATTTGGTCCCAAACGCCCTAAATTAATACACAAAATTCAGACCCGTACACATCATTCTGGAACCAAAACCATAAATAAATAATCAAATTACTTACACAATTAAAAACATTCAAGGGCCATACACAAACACCTAATTACTTGCAAGAAATGCAGCGCTCAAATTCTAGCAATTAAGAGGCAGGACAGCCCACATGTATAAGTCATTGCCCGGCATGGTCTGACTGTCTTGGCTTGATGTGCCCATAAATCATGCTTTCATTTCCTCACCTGTAATTTCTGCAAGGAGCAGAGATGAGTCAGTGTGAATTGTTCCAAAGTAACAAGCTGTTGTTGTTCCATTCTTTAGTGTTCTCCTCTAAAAATAAATCACAAAAACCATGAATCGCGTGTGCCCAGAAAAGTCACATGGCAAATAAAGATGAAAATAGAATTCTAGTTTTTAATTTTAAAATATTTTTATTTAAAGGTATGCCATCTTGATATGAAATACGGTTAAGGTAAATGGCAAAAGTATTTATATCCAAAAGTGTGAGCTGGAGAAGAAGCTGGTGCTTCTGATTTCCTAGATTTCACACTATTCCGTGTTGCAGACTTCACAAAATGTAATACTAATTAATTCCTTGGTTTTTAGGATTATTTAAGGATATACAAACTTTATTGCATCAAGGGATGAGTAAATGAGATTCTTCCATCTACAAGAGGGCAAAATTATTCAGCCAGATTTCTAGTTCAACCCAGCAAATTAGTCCCTTGTATTTATCTCCCTTCCTTAGCACAATTCCACTAAACTAACAGTAAAGGAGTATAAAATGTATTAACCCAGAAGAAAGAGACACGAGCAAAGGAAGCATTTCTACAGCCCCTTGGAAGACAAAAAAAACAGACAAAACAAACATGGATGAGACCCTGGAGGTGACTCTGCAAGAAGAGAAAGAAGCACAGAGCTGCTAATAGAGAATTGGCTGACAGTCTGTATACAGATGATTAAACCCTGGCAGGACCCTTCTCCTTGTTGAAATCAGCCAACCACACCAACCTGATTCTTGCAGGAGAGATTTGCTCTTGCAGAAACTTGCAACAGTATTTGGAGACTAGACACCCAATATGGCAAGGTTCAGCAGAGACTGGAAAGAGTTTTAAGTGGATAATCTGGTTGACCCTCTGGATCCTTGGTCATTTTCCCCAAAATCCCACATATGCAACTCCCACCACTCCTAGCAGGACTGAGGAACTCTTCCCTAGAGAAGATGACTGGTTCTAGAAGAAAGATATCCTCACAGTGGCATTTGGGGCCCACAGTTGAAAGGGTTGTTCAGTGCCTTCACTGTTTATCTTATAATGAAGTTCACTAGCCAACAAGCGTTATCCCCATCCAGACTTCCAATCACCATTTCAGAGCATCGCACTTAAATATGAAATGTATGTTCAAGGTTCAACAGACATTGGAGGAAAGTTAGTATAAAAAAGTGGGGAAGGAGGAAAAAGGAATCTGGAAAAAAAATCTCGGAGGAAAGAGGCAATCTCTAAGGCCAGAAGGAAGCTGGATTTTAAAAAAAAAAAAAAAAATCTAATGGGGGGGCGCCGGGGTGGCTCAGTCAGTTAAGCATCCGACTCTTGATTTTTAACTCAGGTCATGATCTCAGGGTCAGGAGATGGAGCCATGAGTCTGGCAGCATACACTAACCAGAGTAAAGTGAAACTCAAAATTAAAACAGAAGCGTAATCTAACATTTTCTAAATTCTCAAAATTGTACACACCTTTCTAAAATCTTGGCTTGAAGATGAACTCAAAGGGGAAAGTGTTGGCTGTTTAGCAAGAAGGACAATGGAAGTGCCCCACGGCATGGAGAGTAAGTCAGTCCTTCCTCTGACCGAGGGAAGGGGCGGGGGAGGGGAGGGGTGTTTCCACTAGTTGAGAAATTGCACTTTCAAGTTGGACTGGAACGAACTAGAAAGTTCAAGAATCTGCTCAAATTATAGTTAAAGAACAGGACAGGGAAAAACCACAGAGGAAAAAAGAAAAGGAAGGAGGGAGAGGAGAGGAGAAAGGAAAGGAAAGAACCCCAAGCAACTCTTCCTGGTTCCCACTGACTTCCACCCATTTAACCAACAAGCTACATGTGTGAGACTGATGTAATTGAAAGAAATTAGTTTGGCTTTAAAACCTTGCTGAAGAGGACATCTAAAATACAGCTGCTTCCCTTCTTCATTTGTTCTGTATTTGGGCATCCTGGACCCAAGGCCACCCTAGTGTCTCATAAGCTTTAAAGAGGGTTCTTCCGTTGGTAATGAGTTTGTATTTTTCCAGTTTATAAGAATCTACCAAGAACAACATCAGACTGTGGGTTGTGTTTCTCAATCTTTCCTCAGCCTTCAATTCTTGACAAGAAAGGTTTGGAGACCAAGCTTTTTAAGCTCAAAATAGATGCCAAACATAGGATGACTGCAAACTTCAAGATCAGTAGCAATGGCTTCTTAACAGATTAGATGATTTGCATTTCCCCTGGGCTGAAACAGGGAGGAAAGAGTGGCCTATCTCCTTTCGATTCACCTTGTACTTTAATGATCTGATACAGTTTTGGAATTACTTGGATTCATCAGCTGAACCTTTGACAACCCCATAGAGTAAGCATATTCATCCCATTCCCCAGAATATTTGCAACTCGTGTATCTTGGCACATTTACTAGGATCTCATTGTCCAATCCCTTGACTGCAAGCTATATAATATATAGATTCCTGAACCTTCTAGTCTTTTTAGTTTATTCCAGTCTATTTTGAAACTGTAATCTCTCACCCAGTTTGCAATGTTTAAAGGCAGATAATCCAGGCTTGCTTTACTGGGATTTTTTTTCTAAGTAATCTCAGGAGATGTTTGCTAATATAGACTTGAAATTACTTGCACATTAAATGATCACTGTCATCTACGGTGCAGAACTCTGGGGTCTTGATTTGCCCATTTGCTGAAGTATAGATCTAGGACTGTTTTCTGAGGGAGAAAATAAAATAAACCAAAATGCCTTGGATCTCTCTGGACCTACTGTTTTAACATCCCTTTGCATTGCCGTGAGCAGTTGTCAGCCTAGGGACAGGTTCTAGTTAACAAATCTCAACGTCTACAGATTTCAACCATATCATCAGCTCATCCAACTGTTAAAGTGTGCAGGCCTGCCTGCTCATAATCAGAAACATAGGACGTATGCAATGCAAGTATGTGTCGAGAATAAAATCTATTTTGTACTCACTGACATCAAATACTTAACTCTCTGATACAAGAAATAGTATTTATGGAGTACTCCCTGAAGGATATGTGGTTCTAGATACTCTAAATGTCTAAACATAAAACAGTGATATATTTGGGGTTTTTTTAAATACTATAGCATCTTAATAATATATATTTTGACAACAGAGCATGTATCTATATGAACTGTTATTGAAACTAATTTTTAAGAAAATCAGTATAAGTGGGCGCCTGGGTGGCTCAGTTGGTTAAGCGACTGCCTTCGGCTCGGGTCATGATCCTGGAGTCCCGGGATCGAGTCCTGCATCGGGCTCCCTGCTCAGCGGGGAGTCTGCTTCTCCCTCTGACCCTCTTCCCTCTCGTGCTTTCTATCTCATTCTCTCTCTCTCTCTCTCTCTCAAATAAATAAATAAAATCTAAAAAAAAAAAAATTAAAAAAAGAAAATCAGTATAAGTAATAGAAATGCTTTACCTTAACAAATGTTTTATTCTTTATCATATACACAGTGTAAATGACATCATTGATTTCCCTCTCTGGGTCAGCGGCTAGAAACTTAAAGCTGAATTTGTGACAAATGCTAACAAGTGCATGGCCCCCCATGGTATACACTTACCTCTCAGTTTTATTTTTCTTCCCCCTTTTTCTCCTTTGCCACGCTTTTGTGACTCATTTGCTTCCACTGTATACTATTTTATTTTAAGATATCTCAAACCCTTTTTAGAACAATGAGAGGTATAAATAAATTTTGAGAATAAAAAGATTTGGTGTGGTTAACACAGTTCATTAACACAATATCGCAGCAACTTCATGCACTGTGTTAGTCCTTCTCAGTTTTTCTAGTGTCATGTGGATCCATGCTAAACAGGTAAGATCTACAATTACACTGAATTTACAATTGGGGAAGTCAAGTATATAAAGGATAGCATTTACTTTTACTCCTCAAGGCTTGAATGATACAAGACCAGGGGAAATGGCAGAATGGCTAGGTAACTGTCTTACAGACTTACAGTACTGTCACCATCCCAGAGCCATCGCTTTAGAAGAAAACCCATCCATGGGTCCAACAACAATGCAGCAATGTTTAAACTAAGTATGCTGCATGACAAGAGGTAGTGGTCAGATAGGAAAGTTTTTGCAAAAGGTATTCTCCCCTGCAGAAGCTGTTTCTGGTTGCTGAGTGGACTTGGCATAGGGCTGGAGTAGAAAGAAGGGGACTGATTTCCTTGAGAGAGTGGAAGTAAGGACATCCTCAGAGCCTTCAGTATAAAGGTTGGCGCGGTTCAATGACTTGAACTAGCTCCATAGCTCCCTCTAGTGGTGTTAATGCTCATCATGTACCTACGTACCCTGCTATATAGGGAGCCATCCTATTTTCCCTCCTTGGGAAGCTACTAAAATAATGTGATATCCTTCTAACTGTAATTTTAACTTTTATTTTTAAATTTCCTTGCATGTTTTTTAAAGCAAATATATACAACGCTCCATGTGTCAGGCACTATTCTAAGAACCTCACAAATATTAACTTATCATAACAATCCTATGAAGTAGTTACTATCATGATCTCTACTTTATTTTACAGATGGGGAAAATGAGTCACGGAACTTTCCAAAGGTTACACAGCTATTCCATATGGTCCCCAGAACAGCACTGTGGATTGGCAGGAGTAAGGGAACACACACGTGCATGAAACTCAAATTTAGTAACTCGAAACACAAGAAGTAACAGACCAAGAGTCAAGAGAGCCCACCAGATAGAGAATTTGAGGATTTGGATTCAAGTTCTCTCTCTGCTATAGGTTAGCTTGTGTAGATAAGGTGGGTGGTCCACACACTCCTTGGGCTTTGAAAAAAACTGAAAATGTCTCCACAGTCCATTCTAGCCTCAACTGCCTGTGCTTTATAATTAAAATATGCCCCAAGAAATGGACGTGTCTACAGGTGATTTGGTCATAACACACCACTACTGACGAGCAAGATACTTACGACAACTCTGGTATATACTTCTTCAGCGAAGTCGATGTTCTGGAATTTGAGTTCTGTAGGAAATGTGTACATGGTCAGCCAGTCCAAAAGCGGCAGGTCCACATTACTCCCAGCAAAAGAATACTGAGGGGCGTGGATGTGTGTATCAACCAGCCCAGGCATGAAGAACTCACTGGAAATTAATACAAGGGGGAAAAAAGAATTTAATAATACCTTCAATCATTTTCCGTATCTTTAAATCACATTTTCTCTCCACGGTGATTAATTGTTTACCACACGCAGGTTCAGAGCTAATGCAATCAGACGACTGTAAATTCTCCTGTTATCTAGCAATCAAGATATAGAAGTGACGCTCTGCTGGGAGAGATACAGCTCCTACATTGGATTGGCAGAATGGCTGGTGTGAGGTTAACCAAAGATGATCGAGGGAAGCAGAAGCACAGCACTGAGAAGCAGCAAAAAAACAATCATGGAACAAGACACCCGATGACTTTGTTCTCATAACTGGAGGTTATAGGACGGAGAGCCAAGATGAGAAAGAAGGTCTTTAAAGCTTCTAAAGCCATGCTTTGGAACTACTCCCGAGTCACTAAGGATGACTGACGATGACAAATGGTGGCCGCAATGCTAGACTCAGTGGTCGTCTTGACCTTGGCTGACTCCAAGAAATCTGGTCCTTCCCCTTGTGAGGCAGGGGCTGAGTTCTGAAATGAAGCAGCAACGGCAAACTGAGGCTGGTTAGGGACAGGCCCTCGTAGAAGACGAGACTGTCAATGGGTGGGCGGTGTCGGACGGGTAAGCGAAGACACAGCTGTAGTGCTCAGACAGCCTTCTCCAGGTGCCGCTGATCACTCCTGCCGTCCCCCTGGCCTGCCAACTAATTTTCATATTTCCACTGATTCTCATAACAGAAAGTCCTGGAAAGATGTTTTTAAGAGCTTTCAGAGGCACTACCCACAGATTCGAGGAAGCCCCCAAACTAACACACTTAAAACTTCTCTAAAGAACGAATCCAGTTCACTGGTGTCTATTAAGTGTCTACACACATCCAAACAGATATTTGTTACAGACCATATGTACCACCACAACCAGCACCCTGAGAAAATATGAATTATATTTTAATATACATAAAGAACTTGAGCTCAAAACTTGACATAACAAAGAATCCCTTATGCTACCAACTGAAATGTATACCACCTCAGTGAAAGGCAAACAAAGCCTGGGCTACCTATAAAATGCTTTCTTTTTAAAAAAAAATGGGAACCGGGAATGGTGGCGATAATGCTGATAACCAGCAGATGATGTTTACTGAAGAGGTACATGTACTCGGCACAGCACCCATGTACATCATCTTACTTGTGGGAGGCAGTTTATTACAGGGGTTAAGTATATACATTCTTGACTCAGACTGCCTGATTTTGAATTCAGACCCCACCATAAACGAGCAGTAGGGTCATCGACATGTTATTTAACTTCGTTGCGACTCAGTGTCCTGTTACAGTGGTAGCACCATAGGGCTGTTGTGAGGATTGTTAGCACGAGTAAAAACAGTGCCTAGATAACAAAAAGCACTCAAAAAAAATAGTAGTTATGATGATGTAATGCTCACAACAAACTTACAAAGTAGTACTGTTCTCCTCATTTATAGAAGAGAAAACTGAAGCTCAGGAAATGTAAGTAGCTTTAAAAAAAAAAAAAAGTAATCATGCAACTAGTCAGCTTTGGAGCCTAGATTCAAATCCAGGCAGTTTGTCTGCCGGCTCAGTACTCTGGGTCACTCCCCTCCGGAGGACAGAATTCTTCATTCACTTCGGCGGGGAAGAGCAGTGACAAGCTCGTGTGGCAAGAAGGCCGCATTAAGTGAGCCTACAACGTGGGGGGCGCGCAGAGAGGGGGGATGAACTATGTGGACTCCTCTCAGGCATGAGTCGCTGACCTCTCAGGATACCTCAGTCCTGGGGCTTTCCCCGTCTCCACCACCATGAAATGAAATGGCCACGTGATTTCTTTATGTAGTTGAATTGTTCAATCAAATAATATTTCCCAAGTAACTGATAAGTTTTAAAAAACTCTCCTAAGCCTTGTGGGAGATCCAAAGAGAAATAAGACATTTCCTTATCTTCAAAGAGATTATAATCTAGTTGAGCAGATTAGGGGTGAGTGAGGATATCTGTGTGTGTCTGTGTTGGGGGGAGGGGGGTATGGAGAGAGGGAGGTGGAGACAAAGAGAGAAGGAGGTCTGGTCAAAATATTAAGGATCTTAGTGAGCAATTTCACTCCTAGTGGTTTGCCCGACTGAAATAAAACATATGCTTACGAAAGAGCATTGTACAAAAATATTTAGAGCAGCTTTATGTATCCCAGCCTCGAACTGGAAACAAATCAAATACCACAGGAAAACAGATAAACAAACTGTGGTATATCAACACAACAGAATGCTATTCGGCAATACAAAAGAAAGAACTACTGATATAAACAACAAAATGGATGAATCTTGGAAGCGTTACGATGAGTGAAGAATCCAGACACAAGAATCATTGATTTATTCCATTCATATGACTTTTTTTTTTAAAGATTTTGTTTATTTATTTGACAGAGAGAGAGAGAGAGCACAAGTAGGCAGAGCGACAAGCAGAGGGAGAGGGAGAAGCAGGCTCCCCGAGGAGCAGGGAGCCCGATGCGGGGCTCAATTCCAGGACCCCGGGATCATGACCTGAGCCGAAGGCAGACGCTTAACGACTGAGCCACCCAGGCACCCCATTCATATGACATTTAAAAACAGGCAGAAGTAATCTATGTGATAGAAAAAATTAAAACAGTGGACAAGGGGCTGGAGAGTGACTGGAAGGGGCATAAAGGAACTTTCTAGGCTGATAGGAATGTGTTATATCTTGATTGGTTTATGTTGGTTCCATAGTCATATATGCTTGTCAAAACTTATCAATGTACATACCTAAGATCTGTGCACTTTACTACATAAAAAATGTTTCAGAAACAACAGCCAAAAAAAAGTTTCTTTAAAAAGGGTCTTGAATAATCAATTCAGTGAATTAACTGGTGTCGGTTATTCCATAGCCGGGAGGGAGGGAATGGCGAGGATGCTTGTTACTTTGTTTCTTCTTCTCTTTTGCAGAACTGTGACACTTTGAGTCTCAGGTTTAGGACATGAATCTGGCGGTGGCAGGCATGTGCGGGGAGAGTCCTCCCATGCGTGTCCCAAGCATGACATTTCTGAATAAAGATTATGGTGATAGGAACAGAAAGGAAAAGGTGAATACAAGAGAAAAAGCTTGATATTTTATTAGCTGTGGGCAGCCAAGGAGAGGAATGAGTCCAAAAGAGAGCTTCTGAGCATGTGAAGCTGATTATATGACATGATGTGAAGAGAATGTAGGAGGAAATTCCACGTTGAGGGAGGAGTGATGTTATTAAGTCTAGAGTCAGTGTAATCTCCAAGGGTCCAAAGAGCATCAGAAATGTGCGATAAGAGGTGACAGAAGAGGTATGGATGGGATTCAGATTTGAGAGTCTTCTCTGTGGAGGGAAGCCTAGAATCTGGGGGTGCCAGAGATTTCTGTGGAAAAAGAACAAAACTGAATCTTGAACAGCACCGTCCACTTATAGGAGTAAGAATGAGGAAGACAAGGCCATGCTCCTTCTGCAGCAGAGTTGTCAGGAGGACTGAGGGAGATCCAGGAAAGAGAGGTATCAAGGACAGCAATGAAGGGACAGAGACCAGTGTCCAAACCTGCAAGAGTCAAAGGCAAGTGGTCTCAGGAAAAGAGAGCTCTCATTTCCATGCAGTGGTTGGGGAGACACCTGATTTCACGTGGATTCAGTCCTTCATTATAGAATACTTACCAAGTCTCTAGAATGGTTTAGTTACTGTCCTACAGCCGAAAAGAAACCCATGAACATGAAAGATCAGTGTTTAGAGAAAGTACTGGGCAGAGAGAGAACTCCCTTTAAAAATATTTGGTAGTGAAAGAATGGGCAGGTAGGGGGGAGGGAAAGTCACATTTTGTTAAGCATGTTAAGGAAGCAGAGATGAAAGAACTCTTTTCAATTTTGCTCACTCACTAGCTTCACTTCCTTAGAAAATCTCCACTTCCCCTCAGATAAAAACCACTAATTTCATATTCCAAACCTGTGGTGCTGGCCAGTCTGCATCAGAATCTGGGGACAAAGAAGATTGTTTGCCCCTATATACACTTACCAAAACATCCACTTATCTTTTAACCAAGTGGACAATGTTAATGAAAGCTCTACCATCCAAAAAGTTGAAAATAGAGCTACCCTACAATCCAGCAATTGCACTACTACTGGGTATTTACTCCAAAGATACAAATGTAGGGATCTGAAGGGGTACGTGCACCCTGATGTTTATAGCAGCAATGTTCACAGTAGCCAAAGTGTGGAAAGAGCCAAGATGTCCATCGACAGATGAATGGATAAAGAAGATGTGGTATATATATACAATGGAATATTATGCAGCCATCAAAAGGAATGAAATCTTGCCATTTGCAACGACATGGATGGAACTGGAGGGAGTTATGCTGAGCGAAATAAGTCAATCAGAGAAAGACATGTATCCTATGACCTCACTGATATGAGGAATTCTTAACCTCAGGAAACAAACTGAGGGTTGCTGGAGTGATGGGGGTGGGAGGGATGGGGTGGCTGGGTGATAGACATTGGGGAGGGTATGTGCTATGGTGAGCACTGTGAATTGTGTAAGACTGATGAATCACAGACCTGTACCTCTGAAACAAATAATGCAATACATGTTAAGAAAAAGAAGAAGAAGAAGAAGAAGAAGAAGAAGAAGATAGCAGGAGGGAAAAATGAAGGGGGGGAATCGGAGGGGGAGATGAACCATGAGAGACAATGGACTCCGAAAAACAAACTGAGGGTTCTAGAGGGGAGGGGGGTGGGGGATGGGTTAGCCTGGTGATGGGTATTAAAGAGGGCACATTCTGCGTGGAGCACTGGGTGTTATGAACAAACAATGAATCATGGAACACTACACCAAAAACTAATGATGTAATGTATGGTGATTAACATAACATAATAATAATAATAAAAAAAAGAAAGCTCTACCATCAAAACACATGACTATCTAGAAGGGTCTGAGTTGCCCAAGCTGTTTGCTCAGCATTGTCAACCCTCATTTACCTGCCAGCCAGGAGGTATGATGGTCCTGTGGGCTTGGGAATCCCAGGCTCTTTGAAAATGACCATTTCCTTGCCCAACAAC